CTGCAATATGGTGTCAGAGCATTAGATACCGATAGTAATTCCATCGCACCTAATCCTACTGACACTGCATCGCATATCTTGGGGTGATAGAACATCGGATAGGCCCATCCGATACAAATATCTTGGCAGTGAGTAAGCTGGTGACTTCAACCTCAGTAGGAATAGGAAAGTTGGTTATGAGTTTTAAATCTGCATATCACATTTTCTCATCAAACAAGTCATGGTCTTGCTGCACCGCAAGCTTGTAAAACGTAAGTTAAGGACAAGAATTGGGGTGAATGACATAGCTCAGTGTCAGTGTAATTTTTTCCTTGGTCAAGGATTTCAGCTGAAAAAGTTCTAACAACATTTTTTTTATCTAGAGAATAAGTGCTTGTGTGTGATCACTTGAGTGAGTGTGTAGGGAATAAGCCAACTGTGGCTTGAGAAGGGAATAAGCCTGCAGGCTTGAGGAATGTGTTTTTCATGTACTCCTGGAATAAGCCAAAAAGGCTTGAGTATATATATATTTTCTCTTGGCTTGGACAGTATCAAAAATCTTTTTGAATACAGCTTGTTAAAAACTTGAGGTGACTTAAATGTCAAGCATTCTTCACTCCCAGATTCCTCTTCATCAATTATTGAAATAGAGGAATCTGTAAGTGCTTATTCAACTTCAATTAGTTTATTTGTCATAAACACTCATCTATTTTTTTCCTCATAGAACCATTTTTATCTTTTATCTCTCAACTTGGTCCCTGTTGCCACTGGCACAGGTTTATCTCTCTATCTTTAACACCTATGTAGTACTCAGGCTTTCATGCCTTTAGAGCATCTCAGTACTGACCTGATAACCCCAGGTCTATTATTTTACTCCTCAATTTATCACACTCAGGTCTGTGTGGAAGAATGGTCAGAAAGAGAGAGAAGAGACATACACTTGATTGTAAGCAGTGGACTTGGTTCAGAGGAAGGCAAGTTGGGCATTGATTGCATGCCACTGGCATTTATGTCAATTGGAATTTGGGACCTTGTAAACATGGAAAGCATCACTGCCAAGATATTTGTATCGGATGGACCTATCCGATGTTCTATCACCCCAAGATATGCGATGCAGTGTCAGTAGGATTAGGTGCGATGGAATTACTATCAGTATCTAATGCTCTGACACCATATTGCAGTGTAATTCCATTGCACCTAATCCTACTGACACTGCATCACATATCTCGGGGTGATAGAACATCGGATAGGCCCATCCGATACAAATATCTTGGCAGTGAAGGCTCTTGAAACTCAGCCTGCACTGTAATTAGTCATTATTACCTATTTGTACATATATATATAATGTTGTTTTACTATTATGATTACATATGTACTTTTGTTAGTAATATGGGTAATCTTATGTTGCCCTTGTATTTACATGTGTACCATTACAGTGCTCACTGCCAATATATTTGCATCGCATGGAAGCTTGCTATGTAACATAGCATGTCTTCATGTGATACTATGGACCATTTTTCAAGGTCCCTACCTTAGAAAATAGACCTATTGCATCGCATCTTGGCCTGCTATGTGACATACACTGCCAAGATATTTGTATCAGATGGGCCTATCCGATGTTCTATCACCCCAAGATATGCGATGCAGTGTCAGTAGGATTAGGTGCGATGGAAT